CTCGTTTCGCCCGCCGCCATTCGTCCCCCAATTAAAATTATCGCGTCCAGGGCTTAGACACGAGCTAACATCAATTGTCACTTACCAACGTATTGGACCTCCCCCCAAGATTTCATAAAACGCGGCTCATGCACTAACCCATATCTCCACTGGCTTTAATCGTCATCGGGAAGTGACCTGGAACTAACCCCGTTGTATTCCCGTCAAACGGGTTGTTGTGAAAGGATGATGGTGGCGTCGCCCCCTAAACATAAATCATTGGTGGCCGCCACCAACTGACATCGGGTTTGACATGATGATTTGAAACGAATGAGGAGAGGGGAGGAAGAGATGAAGGTCTTCAAGAACACAGTAAAGGTTAGCTACTTTGTTGTTGACAGTGCGAAAATATTAACCCTTACCAGCCACAGCGTATACTGCCCAGAAACGAACCTCCATAAGATCCAATACCGCACTTATATATAGTTATTAATACTATGCGTTAATATGTTATACAAACAATTTCCGAGACTTGGATATACGCATGGCGTCCAAAGGGTTTTAAAGAAAATGACAGCCTATTTTCCAATAGATACACACACATGGTGCAGAAAATATGGTAGCCTCCAGCCTTGTATTTCTTTTCTTTGAAGTCAAGACGTGTTCTCTTATATACAGCCTGGCAGAATCGTTCTTCATCCCATGCCACGCACATCAGTAAGTCCTCTCTTCGCGGCCCCTGCCGTCTCGATACAAACGACATCGGGCACGCACTCTCTCTCCCCCCTCTCTCGTCAATCATCATGGAACGAGTACAAAGGTCATTCTCCACCCATTTACCGCAGGGGGGCAGGCTGGGGGCCTGATTTTAACCGGAACCCCTCGTGCCCAGAACCCCGCACCATATTTGATGGAAGCCTCGATGAAGTTGCGAAACTTCTGCACAAAATGGGCTCGAGGCAATTGAGAGGGACATGGACCAGAACTAACAATGCACTCCAAACAATCTTCCACTTTCTGTAGTATATATAAATATACACAATCCAATCCTCGCATATTATATACACATTTTAAAGCACAATCTGTACACAATCTATTTAGCCTTCATAATCCTGCCATAGCATTATGCCAGAGCTGTTGTTTTTACTTTTCAACACTTATTTCTTTTACCATCCATTTTTACTTCATGGGTGTTGTTTTTATACAGTCACTGGTGTTGTATATGGCAGTATAGTCTAAAACATTATGCGCATGCGCAGTAAGCACGGTGCTGACCTTTCAACTTTTTATTGCCGATTCAGCACAACAACAAACAACAAAAGTGAAGACCACAGGAGTTGAATGTCAACCAAGCGCAAGCCAATTAAGCTGTCTCTTCCGGCCACCAAACTATCGAGTGAGTTGGATGCCCTGTATTCTTGAAGTAGCACGGAACAACGAAGCTATTATACCATAGACTTTTACCATATAGACTACGTATCCTCTTACACGGTCCGCGTCACGGTTTTTGCTCTTAATTAAGATTTGTGATAGGGCCGGGAAGCCTATACACCATGCATGGCTCTAATAATTATTAACTGAAGGATCATCTTTGTAAATATGTATGTTATTAACCCTCGGCGCGCATGCGCAGCTAGGGTTACAGTAGTTACCCTCGGCGCGCATGCGCAGCGAGGGTACTGTAGTTGGGTGTGTGTGTGTGTGTGTCTGTTACTCTACATCTCACTTTTCGAATGTTTGTTCGTCTCACAAACGATATGACCTACTCAACGGGCAATGAAGGTCAGAAATTTTGTGGGGTTTTCTCTGAAAATGCTCCGTTGCAAAGCTAGAGCGCTTCCAGCATTGTATGGCTAATGCCGGTGGTCGCCATTTTATCGCTGGCGGATAATGCGCATGCGCTTATATTTAGCACAGGCTTACCTACCTCGACCGGGCCCGCTTGCTCTGTCTATCTTGAAGGCACAAGAAGTCACAACGAATGGCGTGTATCGACTCTCGCGTGCTATCCACTACTGTAGCAGCCCGTGTCAGACTCTCTGCGAGCTACTTCGCCGAGGGTTTGCACTTTAGTGCTTTTCATTACCCTCGGCGCGCATGCGCAGCGAGGGTACTGTAGTTGGGTGTGTGTGTATGTCTGTTACTCTCAATCTCACTTCTCGAGTGTCTGTTCGTCTCACAAAGGATACGACCTACCTAACGGGCAATGAGGGGCAGAAATTTCGAACAGTTTTCTCTGAAAATGCTCCGTTGCAGAGCTAGAGCGCTTCCGCCATTGTACGGCTAATGCTAGTCGGCCATTTTTATCGCTGCGGAAAAGGCGCATGCGCTTATATTTTGAACAGGCTCGGGTCCGCTTGCTCTGTGTATCTTGAAGGCACGAGAAGTCACAACGAAGGGCGTGTATCAACTCCCACATACTGTAGCTAGCCCGTGTCAGACACTACTAGCGGGAGACCACGAGTATAATTATACTAATAGCAGCCCAGCCCATCAATTAGCGCATGCCCAGTTCGCCGAGGGTTTGCACTTTAGTGCTCTTCATTGGGTCTGTCTGTGTGTGTGTCTGTCTGTTTCTCTCAATCTCACTTCTCGGGTGTTTGTTCGTCTCACAAAGGATAGGACCTACTCAACGGGCAACGAAGGTCAGAAAATTTGTGGGGTTTTCTCTGAAACTGCTCCGTTGCAAAGCTAGAGCGCGAAAAAGCCAATATGCAAATACACAACGGACGGGATGGCTTACCACAGTCGGATCGATCCACGTGCTCTGCGTACTTCGGAGGCACCAGAAGATGCAACGCAGGGTGTGTATCGCCTCTCGCATACTATCTAGTACTGTAGTTAGCCCGCGTCAGACTCTGCGCGAGCTGGCAAGAGACCGCGAGTAACAGCTAAAACTAAACCCAGCCCATCAATTAGTGGTACGGCGTGGTACAAACACCCGAGAAGTGAGATGCGTTTACTTACGCGTGCGCGTTACAGTGCGCCGAGGGTTTGCACTTCAGTGCTTTTCATTTTAGACATGAGTACCGTCAATGGTGAAGCTGAGGGTGAAGAATTGGGGTCGGCCCCTTCAATTACAGAGCTAATGAGGGCGAGGCTCCGGCCACGAGGTAGGGCGGGGCAACACCTGGTACCTGTCATCAAGAAAATAAGAACAAGTCGCAGAAGAGGGGTGGCTACGAGTGACAAGAGGCAGGTGAGAGCGAAGGAGGAGGACAAGAAAGAAGCGAAACAAATGAAAGATGAAGCGAGTGCTAAAGAAAAGACAGAGGGTGGTGAAGGGGATAACGAGCAAGTCCACATCCCCACACTCAAGAGGACGGATTCGTCGTACCTAATCACAGCTGCCACTAAAGACTGTAGTAATGACTGCAGCGATTGGGATCAAGAAATTGCCAGACCTCTAGAAACAGAATACCCGAAACCCTCATCAAACTATCAGAAAACCCAGCGGAGACTTGCCCGGCAGAAGCAGCTGGATGACATGCGCGCCAGAGAGGCTGCTCTGGCACGATCAGAGAGACTCAAGAGGAGGCGGGGCTTGTTGTTAGCCGCACCCCCCTCTAAGAAATCACGTGAACGTAGAGTTATGTGGAAAGAGGAGAGTAGTTTAGTGGAGGTTTTTCAGTACTCTTCATGTCCCTCCTCTCGAGGTAGCACACTAGAACCAGAGGAGCTGGATTAGAATCTCTCTCTCTCTCTCGTTATTTTTTAATGACCTTGTTTCTGTAGTGACGAGTGTTCGTCTCATTTTTTACACTCTTTCAGTGCATTTTTGCCCACCACGAAAGTAGTTGAGCAAAGTTCTCAGTTATATACTGGGGAAGAGAGTTATCACTCAATTGTCAAGTGGCTTATCTCTGCGCATGCGTATTGCATGCATGCAAATATAGGTGAAAGTTAACTAGACAGAGATAGTTGCAGAAAGACAGAGTGCATACTATTCCAAACATTAACAATAGTCAAACTATTATGGGTGGTTGTCTCCTTTTTCACTGATGTTCCCACAAAAAAGGCAAAATCATTGACACCCTTAGTAGAGGTTGGGTGGTGGATTGGCAATGGCACAGCAAAATAGGGGAGAAAGATGGATTGGTAAAGCTAGAGAAAGAGTTGCAGAAAGACAGCTTACATTACTATTCCAACTATTACAAATGGTTGTCTTCTTGTCTCTTCTTCTACTCTTGTGCCTAGGAAAAATGTGAAATCGTTTGCACTGTTATTGGAGGTTGGGGGTGGGGGGGACAGTGAAAGAGAAGTGAAAGAGAGATTGGAAGAGCTAAATAGGAATAGTTGCAGGAAGACAAGAATACATTACTATTCCGTACTCCAACGATAGTCAAACTATCACGCATGGTTAACTTTTCTTTTCTACAACTGGTGTACCTTAAAAAAATGCAAAATTGTTAACACCCTTTTGAGGCGAAAGAGGGATTGGTGAAGCTACTGCTATTAATGGTGTCAATAATTTCTAGCTACATATAGTCTTACTGAGTCTTGTGCGGTCTACAGCAGTCTGGGGAATAGACTATGTTTCTATTTCCAAGACTCAGACTTGCGTGGTCTTAATGGGACTTGGCAAATACAGTTAGTGTGTTGTCATACAGTCTTCAATATAATATGTCTCCAGGCCCCACAAGACCGAGTAAGACTATTATTATGGAGACCTATGGCGCCCAAAGGGTTAAAGGAGTGTTTTTTCTTACTGACTTCTCTCTGACTCTCTGAATTTATGGGAAACACCTAAAATTACGGTTTGACAAAAACTTCCTACTCACCAAAGGGAAATGTGTTCCCATGAGGGTTTTGTGTATCACTCATGAGCAAGTGGAGCCAGGAAGACTGCAGGAGAAGTGGAGCCAGTTAGACTAGAGCCAGAATAGCTAACAGGAGTAACCCCTGTACTCTGACCTACATAATCACATGGTTCAGTGAGCAGAGCTTCCTGCATGGCGCAAAGGAGGCAAGGTGGTGAGAGAGTTATGCCACTTCCTACTACGAAGTCTTAGGGACTTCCAGGGAACTATACAACTGGGGCATTCCAGCCTTTTTAGTTTGTAGAGTGGAATATGACTTTGAAGATGACTTTACTTAGAGCTATACTCATTTTTAATGGCAGTGGGACATGACTGAATAACAAGGCCTTTGCAGCAGTGATTATCATTATCCGACCTGACATTTGCGTGAAGTATTATTATGGCCACGTATACAAGTACAGTGGAACCCCCTCAAAAGACACTGTAAACACAAAGTGTATAATATCTCAATAAAAGACGCTTTGAGGACCCAAATTTATTCATAAAAGACAAACTGCCTGGTCTTAATGTGTCCATTGTTCAGAGGTTCTTCTGTCTTGCAGCTGCACAAAAGAGTTATACAAACTGGGCATGAGAAGTATGCACCAAGTGGTAAGGTAAAGGCCCTGGACAGAAAAACATGTTGTGATTGCACTACAATTCGACATTACAAATCATCCAGGAATTCCGCTAAAACAACTGCGCATACCACCAGTCCAGGAAACACTGGTTTCCATGGATACGTCCCCTGGGGTTCTCAGCCTTGGTCCCCCCAGGGGAGGGCTGAATGAGGTAGTCTTATACCCACCGCCTGCACATGAAAGACGTGGCGGTTCATACCTCTGGAGTAACTAGTAACAGATCTGGTCTGAGAGGTGGAGAGTGAGTATCCCCACAGTGCACGTGTGGTGGCGTATAGTGGAGAGACGTGACAAGAGAGAGCTCTGCGTTTGCTGATGGAAAACAATATCCTTTTTCCCGCCATGTCACAGATATTTCTGGGGATGGTATACAGTGTGAAATTTCATATCTCAGTCAAATTTTACCTCAGGGGACTATACGTCTGCATTCCACTGATGATGGATGCTGCTTTGCTTGGAGACTGAGCTGTGCTTATAAACACTTCACTTTTTCTGCTTTTTGCTCCACTTAGTTGCATGTGTGAATGAAATGTAATAAAAATGGCACCTCACAAACAAACAACACATATGATCACATAATAATTATGTGTATCAGCAACACACATCTTGAACTACGTTCTTTCTACTTTGTGTGTTTCATTGTCCAAAATCTCTGGAAATATACCATTACACACTTTGTGAATGGCGAGTAGTATTCTGGTTTTCCTTCTAAAAATTACTCAACCGTTTGCCACTTAAAACGTCGCTTGGCTGCACGAACAGTATACACAAATACGCATTATTACGTAGATGGGTTGATATTTTCTCAGGAAGAGACCCAAGTCCTAACCCCCACACACACTACTACAACCCAAGGTGGCCAGCTTATCTCACCCGCCTTGCTATGCTATGAATACTTTAGTGTGGTGAAATGTGATGTTGTGGTGGGGGAATAGACACATACATTATGTGGGTGTGGGGATAGTACAGTAGTGACCCTATGGCGCCCTTCGGCTGGCTTTCACCCTGAAAAGTTCAAAATTTCTTTTTACATACCTAATTTCTCTGGGACATAAACAAAGAAAAAGATACAGGGAAGCAGTTTATGAACGATATATATACACAGTCTGACCGGTACAGTTATTGGTGCTTCAGTTCTCTCGTTTCCCGTGTTTTGCTAACCCTATACATTGATCCCTTCACTTCAAACAAGGAATTATAGTGATTTCCCATTTGTGTAGTTACAATGTTGCAATGGTTAACCGACCTTGAAACTCCTGACAGACGGTTTATTGCCACATATGGTCACTAGCTAACCGAGTTACAGTGTGTTATGCTACGTAGTTATTGGTCCTGAACTATTAAGTTTGCTTGGGATTTACCACTACTTATATACAGCAAGCAGAAATACATAGGTTATTTCCTCCCTTTTGCTTACTTGTAAGTGGATTATCAGATAACTCAGAAATGAGAGTATTAAGTTTCACACTTTGTGTATGTGGACAGTGTATGAGATTGATTCCTATGACAAAGACTTTATAATAATTATATATAGTGTGGTGATGCATTCATATGCAACATTGAGGAAAGACTATATACAATGCTATGTGTGTACGCGCGTAGAAAGTCTCTCATGTGTGGCATGCTTTGTGTGTACATGTACAGGGATAATGGAGAGGGTCATAAGCATTTAGTCGGGTGTGGCACATGTGTTGATACATAGATGGGGATGTTTGGCTCTGCCCTGATATTTACGGAGCCAAAAAACATCGCTTGATATTTACAGAGCCAAAACATTGCTCATCTCTTAGGTAGCTAGTCAGGAGGATCGACATGTATAGTGGAAGATGGGACAAGAGAGAGAGAAGGAGAGAGAGGTGTAATGCGGTGGTGTGTGAGCTGAGAGGTGTAATGGCAGTCAAATGTTTAGGCAGTCACCTAGTACATGTGTCTCACACCTCATTCTTGTATATGTTCACCATGCAATGAAGAAGTTTAACACACACACACACACACAGGAGAGGTGGGAGGAGAGTAAGAAAAGCAAGGTAAATGTGCACTAGGCGTGACAGATACACAAACACGGTGTCAAAACGTTTGTGTAGGTGTGCAGCGGGTGTAGTAGCCAGTTGCTACCGTGCAACACCGACTTGCAACAAACACTACCTGCCTATGATAGCAATTGGGAATAGGGAGCAGTCTGGGCAAGAGTGCTGTTTTTGGCTTGTCCCCAATGAGCAGGGCAGCTGTGGATCCCTAACACAGGTGTCCTTAGCAAAAAAACGTGATGTGAAGTATTGTTAAGGTCACACAATTTGGCAAGCAAATTTGAGAACATTGGGAAGCTATTATATTTTAATGTATAAAGCCATCAGCTCTCACCAAGAACTGTTACAGGTGGTGTATATACATTATGGCGCAATTGAAATGAGGTTTGGATATTGTAAGAGTAAATTCCAGAGCCTATTATGCCAGAGGTGTAGTATCTTGTCCATTTGCTGTACTAACTGACGTAGCACCCAGGCTGAAGTAATGCCTATCAGGTGTACACATCTTGTGTAGCTATACAGCACGTACACATATGCAGTTAGAGAAACTGTTTGTGTCAATTTTCCGCTACACGTCTTGTTTGTGTCAATTTTCAGCTACAACTGCTAAATGTAGCACAGTTACCCACCTGAGGACATGCTAAATACTCTAAAGAAGCAGGTGGAAGACTATCACAGGTAGCTAAGTCAAAATAGGTAGGAATGTATAGCAGGAAAAGGTATCATACTCAAAATTATAGTGTGTGAACCACTGGTCCAAACTTGCTGCCGTATCACATATCAGTCAATTTCTAAGTTTCTCTAACTGCATATGTGTACGTGCTGTATAGCTACATGTGTATCTGTGAGGCTTGCAGGTTGATGCACAGTCATATCGGCACAGATGTACTCCTTCAGCCCCGACGAGGAATGCCAGGAATGCTCGCTAATTACTAATGAATGCCTGCCACATGATTATTGGCTTTCGCAGAAAGAGAGCACACACACATACTCACACAGTCAAGTCCAGCTCGTATAACCACTAAGTATGTACAGTAAGACTACGAGGCAATATATAGTAAGTCATTGACCACGTTGTATGGAAGTGTTCTTATACGTATTATATACATAGATCATTGCTGTCGTAATAATTAGAGGAATTAACGTAAATCAGTAGTGATTATTAACCATGGTTAATAATGTGCTAGACAAAACAGGTGCTCACGTACTTGGCAGAAATGAGGACATGCAACATGTAGAGTCAGGCAGCAAAAGGTGTGACTCAAGATTGTATGTGCATCCTATGGTAGCATTCGCCCACTTGGCTACGCCCTTCTCTAGCTCTGCCCCTGAAGTAAGGACACCTGTATAAGTAACACTTTTCCCCGAGAACAATTCTTTGCATGCAATTCAATGAGGACACGTCACTAATAATAATGGGCATTTTTTCTGTCCCATCCCAGGTACTCACTTCCATCACATTTTCACACATCTAAATACCACCAATGTGTCTAAATAGTCTAAATTCAGCTCATTAGCTACAGCTATATACGTAGTGCATTCCGGCAAAGAGTTGTTCCAAATTTCGTAGTAAAATTAATGTGTGCATCATACGTAGTAGGCTAAGTGGTTGTTTGTACATGTCCATTGTGCACTTAGCATACAAACACCATAGGCTCAGAAAAAGGCAATTGTAAAAAATACTCTGCAGGGTTGCGTAAGAAGCCTGTTAGACAACGACCAATAAGTGGCAGCACATGATACTCATGAATTTAGAAACTAGTATCGTTCTCGGCATTGTCTGCATTCCTACACAGCAAAAGAGGTGCTATTACCATCCCATATAATGCCCACTCTGCTCATTATTTCTACACTCGTCCAAAGTTTCCATGGCTACATACAGCTCAGCATGCTGGAACTGTACACAAGACCTAATATGGCTGCCGGCAATAAGTCCCCCAGCACAGCTATTGGCAAATTCATTATCATTGTGAATAATAACAAATACGTAGCTTGTGCATAAGTGGTTATAGTGTCGAGCAGAAAAAATGCTTCTATTCACCTCGTTGCGTGGGTTATCATGCCCCACATTGAAGTTAGTTACATGGCACTCTGCCTTGTGCTATGTATGCTTGTGTGTTGTGTGTGTGTGTGTGTGTGATCAGGCAAGGGAATAAGGCCACTTGACCAGGTACTGGAATGCAAGACGAGTGTATGGTGTTACATTATTCACAGGTGATGGGGCATTGTGTCATTTGAATTCACGAGTCATGCAGGAGGTCAGGGTAACTGCACGTGTGTTACATGAATCACGAGCTGTAGCTAAACACAAGAACGATCAATGATATACCCAGGGACTACACTTTGTCTAAGAGCTTTCCTCAATGGGAGAGGCCAGCATGACAGCACATGCTGGTTGGTTGCATAACCATGGTACTCTCTCTCCAAAGAAAAAAGAAAAGAGCTGTCCTAGCTAGGACTTGAACCCAGAACACTCTGCTCTATGTATCAAGACAAAATCCTCTAGCTGGCCCACTGAGCTACTGGCCAACAGGGCAGCTCATGATAACTGCAAGTGCTACAATTCAGGACACTACTAAAAGATTTGCCTTTGGTGGGCTTCAACCTACGTCATGTCATACAGAGCACTAACAGATCATGCCATTATACATCCGAATACACCACTAATAAGTCTGATGCGCGTCTATGAGACTATTATGTAGCTGGCACAGATAGCTTACTTCTGAAGAGACTACACAACGCTTGCGGACTAGTAGTATTGAATTTCAAGCAATTGTTAGTAAATTCCCATCTCGGTTTTCACTTTTTGGATGGCAACCAGTATAAAGTTCCCAGCAGCGCCTGAGAGTATAATCTTTGGAGTCTTTGCATTACATCATTGGACCATTACCCTGCTAAGCTTCGTAGCTTCGTAGCTTCGTGTGTATTGAATGAGGAAAGGTGTACCACAGAAGGAAATTGATGCATGCAGGCTACTCTATAGGTGACATCACATTGTTTCACTTCCACCAGTGATGATGCACATGTGTAGATATATACACGAATTCACAGGAAAACCTGAACAAACACTTGTGGTTACTTATACAGACACAGGTATCATATATCCATTATGGTGTAAAAACACGAAGCATACACACACATACACATACACACGCGTGGATAATGCACAATCTGGCGCAAGACTTGAAATGACAAATCAGTCGTGAAATCTTATCCCTCAACTATACACACAGATAATACGTTGTAATAAAGAACATTGGAACGGTGCTGACCACAAGCAGAACAAGCCAAATTTACGCATTGAGCAAGATCGCAATCCACATAGTGCTGGGCTTTGTATGGTTAGCATGATTTGTACTGTTCCTCTGTGTACAATTAGGAATACAGGTGCAAAGCCATTGCAACATTCCTTCGGTGACGGAAAACACACACAGATTGTGTGGTGTATGAGTCTGCGGCTAGGCAAACCACATGCCTCTA